TATTCTAGCATTTCTGTGTACAAAAATTTTTTATTTCTATGGGGTGAATTTTTATGTGTGGCCTTAGACAGAAGTAGCAAGTTTCTTTTGCTGTCCAGTGTAATTTATATGTATTTACATGTAACAAATGGTCGAAGGTCAATGCTCCTGCAGTATCCTTGGACTCAAACCATGTACAATTGTACATACCTGTAAAACACCCACAAAACAATGGAAACCCCTTCTCTCTGGAAGCGCACATCTTCTAACACTTGAAAGCACGGGCAAATTGGGCATGATACCTTTATAAATCATAAATAGGAATAACCGATAACGCTTGCAAATCAGTACACTACATGTGAATATCATTGCAGTCTGAAAGGGACAGGTGAAAAATTTTGTTGAATGGACATCGATTGACATATATTGATGTGTGGATAATTTGTTTAATGTGTATGCAGGTCCCATGGTGTATGGAGTCAGCTTCTGTCCATTGTCCTGTAAGGAGAGACTTGAACAACTTGGCTTTGCAGGTACTGTCCTTGTTCATGTGTCTAGTGCAATATTAACCAAACCTTTACATGTGTAAGGTTACTTAAAATAACCATCCCAAATCTTTCTGAATCCAACACCAATCATGCCAATACTTTCTCACACATTTTATTCAACAAAATTTGGAAATACAGTGTACATGAAGGCCCATGGAAAGAGTGCTGTAACAGTTCTGTGTGTACCAGAGTTAAATTGGATAAGGTGTCAGATTTTGGTAGAATTTGGAAGTTTAGCACTAAATTTTGACCTGAAGTGAATAAAATAGACTTAAATTGCTAAAAATACACGAAGAGGTGAATCTGTATAATTTCTTAGTAAGTTTTGTTTCATTTTCTATCTGCATTCATTGACAGAAAAGTAAGACTAAAAATGTTTACAAAAACGTTTGTACAGATGTGTTTTATTGTATGAGGCTTCTGGATGCACCGAAGGAATGATCTCTCTTGGAAGAAGTGTGGTTCTGAAAAGAACCTTGTTAAGTAGGAACTTGACGTTTTGACCAGGATGATCTCGTCATCCTCAGAAGTGAGTCCCTTAAATGGTGCAACCACGAGCCTTGTGGTTGCAAAGCTTCAAATCTTGCCGATATATTGTATATGAAAACTCCTAAGGTAATTGCCACCTAGGTGATTTTTTTTTACATAATTTATCCTTTCTGATATGGCATTGCAAGCATTCACCACTTTGGCATCCAGTCATGAACAGGAATAAACTTCCACTGTACTGCATCCAATCCAATCCACCTTTGAGCCATGACATATTTAATCCTTCAGGAACAGTAGAATTAGGGATTATACGTATGTTGAATTCTCTCATGTACCGTCACTTCCAGAAAGCAGTGACTTCTGGGTGATAGGTATCTGGTGATACTGGTGTATCACACTGGTGATACACAATAATGCCTGTAAAGCCAAGTTCAATCATTGTTCCACAAGTGACATGTAACTTGTATATAACTGATGCTGATCAATAATGATTGCTTTTGCAGATTCCAAAACATTGTCAGAGGAGCAAAGAGATGATCTTTTCTCTAAGATCAAAGAAGCAAACGACTTCTTAGGATTTGAAGTAGAAATTCTCTCCCCCAATTATATATCAACAACAATGTTAAGACGGTATGTACTGTACAGATGAAGATGTGACTATTCCTTAGGCTTCAAAGATTAAGAATGTATTAGTTCTAAACACTAGAGCAACTGCAACTGAAAAGGAAATAATTTGACATTAGAAATAAAGATGTATGCACGATTACCAAATGCCTTTTGCATATTTATCAGACCTGTACTGTGTATGCTGTGAAGGACACATGTAGGTGTATGAAATTGAATCACTCATTTATCCGGGACTTGAGTTTAGTTGAAATATTTATCAGAGTATACATGTACTTTAAATATTTGTCAGAATTTTATATTCAAGATCCCTTAAGACCACAACAAGATTTTTAAAGATCTTCAGAAAGCAAACACAAGATCTCTTGTCTGAATTTGAGTCATAAGCTATTCAAATGAATTGGAACAAAATCCTTTCTTTATTATATTCATGATGTTATTTGTGAATGTTGTTGATGTGGCCTTGTGATGAACATAAAAACACTTTGATTTATCATTTCTCTGGTTAGGTGTACATTTTTATTTATGTGACAGTTTTGTTGTTTTGATTTCATTAGAACAAAGTACAGCTTGAATGCGATCTCCATGGACTCTGCTATTGGATTGCTGAGACTGGCTATATCGCAAGGAGCAAACATCAAAGAGGTTTGGATAGAATTGGGAGTTATGTTGATTGTTCTGTCTGTCATATCAGTAGATTTACATATAGGCCCAAGTACTTCAAAACCCAAGTGGAATAAGGTGCTAGTTGTACAATCCAACTACTCTACTGCTTGGAGGGCAATCTCATGTTTGAATCGTTAAACCACCTGGGGCTGACATAGTCTACCTTTTCTGTGAACGTTTACCTCCTGCACAGGGCAGCATACATTTACCTGTACTCAGCCTTCTAATGGACACAGCATTGAAGTCTCTGATATGTCCTTAAATTTCATTTCTCAACTTGAGTTTGTTTTGAACAAGTCCTTCTTCAAATTATAAGGCTTGAAACTTTAAAGCTTTAAACAAGGTGAACAGTTCTTTAATTCATCATTCATCAATCTTTGTCAAGTTTTCTTTATTGGATTAATTTGGAGTGGAAAATTGTTAATTGAAAATGCAGTTATCATGAGGTAAGAACCTAACATTTGATAAACATAAATAATTAATTTTAGTTGTACATACATGGTTATGTTTGGATATATTTTTCTCAGAAATATAAATCAGTATAGGAACTGGAATATATAGGTCTGCACATTTAGATGATGAATTCAGCACTTGTTTCAAGTGAGTTTAAATATTTCTGTTGAACATGAAATCACACATACCCCTGCTGCATAATGGCAAACTGAAACGAACTCTTATAGAATTCAATGTCACAGTACACCAAAATGCGGTGTGTAACTTTCACTTATTTGGGGCAGGGGGTTTTCTACTGGTAAACCTGAAAGAGATGATGGTGTCAATAGTTTTGCATGTGTGACATTTACATACTGTAGCATTTATTTGTTGTTGTGGTATAGGTGTATGTTGACACAGTAGGTGATGCTGGCAAGTATCAAGAGAAGCTACAGGGACTATTTCCTGATCTGGACATTACTGTCACCCCAAAGGCTGATGCTAAGTTTCCCATTGTCAGCGCTGCCAGTATATGTGCTAAAGTAGGTAACAAGTGTGGAGGAATATTACTGTACACCCAGTTGTTTCAAATCACTGATAACAATTACGCAGTCATTGAATCAGCTAAATACAGAATATTTCCCCCCCTTAAATTCAAATGTACATGTGTTTGTTGATTGTCCATTGTGTCCACATTCTGGACCAACATACATACATGTACCCTCTGTAGTACATACCCTCTGTGTTTCCCTTTGATAGCACATTTTGGAAAGAGGTCCTCGTGCAGATCACTGTGATGTGCACAGTTTGCTCAAAGAAAATCAATTACTCCGCAGTACAGTTGAATAGAATTAGAAGCATTAGTCAAAGGGTTTGAAGTGTGGGTTCTGTGGAGGATTGGTAAACTAACATCAGTACTGTTTTACGAAAAAGGCAAAAACTCAACTATTTTACACTAATATGGATGTACACATTCAGTGCCTTGTTTTCACCTGTTGATTTTTTTTTCGTCTCTTGATACAGAACAATTTTTCCAAGCCCATTGTTCTCGCAAACTCTGTGTGAGATTTCTTGATCATTAACCCTGTATTTTGTGACTAGGTTGTTCGTGATCAAGTCTTGAAAACGTGGGCATTCCTTGAGGGTGATGATATTGTGACAGGTGATTACGGAAGTGGATATCCATCAGGTGATTCCTTTATTGTTTTGCTTACATGTGTACATTTGTATTTGTTGAGTGCTTACACAGTGTACATGTACATGTAGCAACACTGTTGAATTGACATGTCCTTGTAACGTGGAGTGAAGGCACTTCAGTGTTTTTATCCATCATACAAAGAGATTTTTCTGTTCTTGGCACACATCTAGCGTACAGTTTAGCATACAGTCAATCACACTGTATCAGGAACACTTGCAGCTTGATTGTAGCATGACAGAACTAGTAGCCAGGCAGTTGCCATATTGAGGCGACAATTTCCTTGAAAAAAGTCGAGACTCAGTTGTAGGGGCAAAAATTTATCCCCATGGCATTGTTTGGTCCCACATCTTTTTTAACCCATGTGTACTTCCCACAACCACGGATAAAAATGTGTGTCACTTCTGGAGTGTACTGACTTTGCTTATGCAACTCTGTACAACCTTCATCAGGTCTTGCTTGGAACCTACAATTATTGCAGTGTTTTCAAAGTTGAATGATCAGTCAAATTTTGGATTTTTTGAAAGTGTGAGTGTTTGAAAATATCTGGTACTTCCACTGTCATTTTTTGATAGTTCCATGCTTATGCAGGTGTCTTATGCTCAGTTGATCAGCCTTTTCTAATCCCTCACTCTAACTTGCTGTCTAGTAGATTCATCAACTTACGTTTTCCCACAGTCACTTCAGTGCTTCAAACTATTCACCTCTGGAGAAATATAAGGTTAATCACCTCAGGAGGATAGTTTCGCGACACAACTAGAAGCAGTTAGTGCTTGTTATAGAGCACCTCTCCTACAGTTGGGTTGATTTTATTGATAACAGATTACTTTAATTGAAACATGTGCTTTTGTATGAATATCTGTTGCAAATTCAGTCACACTTTCCCCGCTACCTCTTTACAAAATGTTTGAACTCAACTCACCTCCGTAGTGCTAGCGCTTTGGGGAATACATGCAACACGCATACTATACATTTGCACACAATACCTGTTATGCATACGGTATGTGTATGGTTCTTTTGTTACTGTGGTACTTTGTTTGCTGGAGGAATAGTACTTTTGGCTCAATACAGCAAAATAAAAGTAACAAATATGACTAGCTCTCAGCCAATCAAAATATAGGATCAGTAGTTGAGGTGTTATATTTATTCCCTTTGTAATGTTTGCCATCAGACCCAGCAACCAAACAGTGGCTGGCAGACAACTTGGACAAAGTCTTTGGCTATCCCCAGTTTGTAAGATTCAGTTGGTCCACAACAAGTACACTACTGGAAAACGGTGCCTACCTCGTGCACTGGTAAGCCCATGTACATGTACATGCATATGGAAGCAGTCTACATCTATGGAACAGTTTCATATTTTGGAAATATCTCAAAATTCACATCATTGTGTAAGCTGACCTAGACTGTCACTATATACATGTATTTTCAGATGGCATGTTTCACTTGGTATAGAGACCATACTCCCTTATCTGTATGACGACAGACTTCTGTGCACTTAAAGATTCTTGTCGTTATTATCAGTCTACATGTTTTCTCTCGCACATTAGAGGGAAATTTGGTGGACCTGGTAGGCTGTTGTTTATTTTATTTCATTGTAAACCGTCATATTCACAAGAGTCCAGTAATGAACAGGAAACAGATGTTGTCAACTGGCCAGCTTCGTGCACAGCCTGAGTTTTTTGTTTACTATTCAGTACATCAGTGCATGGAGCAAAGAACAGTGGGGTGCATTGAGACATTGTCCTTGTGTCAGAAATGGACAGAAAATTTGTAGAAATAAATTTAATTTAATATGATGACAAGTCTGAGAGGCATTTGTTCAAATTATCCAGTGGCATGGAAATGTTAACGTGGTTGTCATTGCACTGTCCTAGTGGTTTGAGGTCAAAGAGAGATCCCATTATGATATGGGGAAAGTGAAATGTGACCATCGACATGAATATTTAACAATTATTGACTGCTGTAATGTGGGATATTATGTGTTATAACACCTGAGGGACTCAGCACTTTAGTGTGCTGAGGGTGCTATGATGTCCCTGAGGGTTTTTAAAACATTATATCCCACATGACAGCAGGTCTCTGTCTTGAATCCTTAGCACTACTTCCTTCCATGAAGTGTCTCAAATTTAATTGAATTGATGTCTTGATCCACTCCTACAGAGAAACTTATGCAATGTGCACAGACTTGGTGAATCGCCATGTCAGTTTATCTGCATTTGTTGTTTGTGTCTTGCTCAACAGCAGTATCTTTACACCATAAAAGCCATTTCTGGAGGAGAATCTGCAAGTCTTTAAGGGTGCACCACAACAAATAAATTCCCATAGACGGCAGTGATAAATCCCCATACTTCACAATTATTTTAAAAATACTCACAACTCACACAGGTGTCCAGGCTGCACAGTAAAACGATGATCGACATGTCCCCTTCCATTTTCCTTTTGATTTTTTTTTTGGGTTGACCAATTTATTTTTAAGAAATTTTCACCAGAAGCAGACCACCCCTAAAATGAAGAAAATGTCCCTGCCCAGAAAAATTGCCATTTTGAAAAACCATCCCTCTGCAAAACGGCCAAAGAGTGCCACTTTTGGACCCGATTGTACCCAAATTGCTCAGAATCGGAAGCCCCAAGTCCAGGCCAGAGGTTCAGTGCCATATTTCTCCAATTCCTCAATTTCATGGCTCTCAGGACTCTCTAATATAGAATATTCGAGTGTATAACTTTTATTAATGAGCTCAGTGGACATATTTCCGGCCTTTTTGCATGGGTGCTCAGCAGACATAATGTAAAGGAACTTACAGTATAAAAGAAATAAAGTAACTGTCAAAAAAAAATTGCAGTTTCCCTACACCTGATTGTATCATATGCCAGTTCACTGCTCTTACGAGAGTCTACTGTTTGTAAGTGAAATTAGCACAGGTGTCACTTTGAAAATTCTGGTGAATAGCAGTCACTGCATTAGGGTTTTGACTGTGGGGCGAGGTCTAGTCTATGATATCATGATTCGATTTGCACAAAGATGAGGGTAATATGCATTGTCTTTGCCCAATCACATGATCATTCTGGGCCAATGAAAATACATGTACAGTATCCAAAAGAGAGGCATAACTGTGTTTATTCATGACTGGCCCAGCAGTATCTGTGCTTACCTTCAACAGTCACTATATTTCATGTTCGAAATCATAGTAGGTAGGCTCATCACTTCTCTGTACACGGACCTTTGTGTTTTCATTTTCCTGTGTGTTTTTTCTGGCAGGGAAGATGAGGATGAAGATGAAAGCTCTAAGGGGACAGCTTCTTTGTTCTCCTTCTTTGCCCCAAAGAATGCTGACCCTAGAGACAAGCAACATGCATTCTTTGAGGAGAGGCATCTCAAACGAGTTGAATCATTTTGACGAAAGCTAGTTGCAACACCAAGTCACTTCCAAAAGTTTTAGCTGGATAGAAAAGATTCTCAAAGAATGATTTGAGATACCTGCCTGTCTGAACTACATCAAACTACATGTACTACAATTTGAGCTCTGGGGTTTTAGGGTTGTTTTCTTGCATATTTCACAACAGGCAGTGTGCCCCTACATTTATACATGCAATAAAATTACCTAACTTGACATAGCCCACGGAATCCCTGTGTGCTACTTGCTGTACAATAGTTCAGTGTACATGTACCGAGTTGTAGCTGGCAAAGTTTAAATAATAGTCAAAGTTTTTGCTCAATGCACGTTTTTGTGCTGTGTAAAATACATTCTGCTGTCATATGTTGCTTGGGATAGAGTGACGATTTTTAATATTTGGCAATGCTGGAACCCCGTTCCCGTACACTTGCACAATACCTGTCCTAACTGGAATCACATGCCTCTTTCTCTGTCACACATTGCCAGTGGAGAATTTAACTTTTCATGCACTTACTGGTTTAAAGAGAATAAATAAGACCAAATGGTGAATGTTTACATTGGTCCTCCATTTTCACAAACTTTATATTCATCTTCAGTTTTACATTTGATTAACATCAGAAATTTGTTCAAAGACAAATTTAATTACAAAATGAAGTAGTTTCAAAATATCAACGATAACCAGGATTTTTTTTATACAAAATATGTTTAGAAGCAACAAATAATGAATTTATACATTGCATATTTACTGTACTTTCTTCAGATGTACATCTACTGGTACTTTAGATGAACAGGAATCATATTTGTCCCATTTGTACTTGGGTTAAACACAAGCTGCCCCCATACTTTTGTATCCAAAAATACTTCTGTTCATTTTGTCCAAAAGAACATGTATAAAATTACTAAAAAAGAAAATCAGATGAACCATGGTCAGATTTATGGTTGGAAATGACTGTTCCAATCAAGGGGGGGGGGCAGAAGTATGTTCACATAGGCAACAACTGAGAGGGAGGGTACATAAAGTTCCACAAAATGGTTTCCAACAAAGTGATAATGCACTCTGCAGAAAGAGGTTTTCCCCAAAGAGAGCGTTTTCTAATGGACATGTAACATGGGTTTTGATCAACGACCAAAGACAATTTTAATCACTCTTCAATAGATCACTTGTGTAGGATATTAAAAGCACTACTTTTTACTGTCACAAAAAGCTTTTAGAAGTATGTACCGTTTGTAAAATATGTTTGCAATAAAGATTGACATCAAGGTAAACCTCTTATCAAAAATGTAAAATAAAATGCCTAGAGTGATACATGAAAGATTTCTCTTTAGTAAATCAATTGTTCATCACATAAATACAGAGGCCTATCCAGCACAGTACTTTTTACCTGTGGGATATCACTGGAACTTTGCTTTTTTCAGCTCTCATTTTGATCGCATTTTATATAAAAGACTTAACACAGGAATACCTCATGTTCAATACTGGAGTCTTTTAAAGATAAAACAATTGGAACATTTCAAATCTACATGTATTTAGTTTTCTTGTAGGATTGGTTAAGCTCACTACAGTTCAGAAATAATCCACAAGCATGCAAATATAACCGGTTTTACTGCTTCTTTGGATTCATTTTGTAATTAGGGATTTTTTTACAGTTTCTTGAAATGTCCATTTGATAGGCACAGTAGCACACTCAATGCATTTTATAACATGTAAGACAAAAACGCTCAATCATTATACAGGCAGCACCTTAATCAAACTTTCAAAGTGCACCAACAGTGCATGTCCATCTGCACAGAATCATAACCTGTACATTGGCGTATGTGAATTGTCAGTCTCAGTTACAGAAATGGAAAACATTGGAAGTCCAGGACCCTTAAGGTTACAAGCAGGCATCATTTCTGGCTCTCTGAACCTCGGCTTCAACTACCGTGAATTTGTTTCACGCCTCCTGGTTCTGGAGACATGGCAAGTATTCTGCTTCACAAACATGAATTGGGTTATAGGACAGATGTTTTGTAGTAATTCTACCAAAAAATGACAGCCAAGGTGCAGGGAAAGCTGAGGTTTGGAATGAACAATCTAAGAGTGAGCTGTATGGTACTCTATCATGTGGTTAAGTTGCCTTGACTAGATACTGGGGTTCCATGTGAATGAGAACTGAAGTTTAATATGCTGTCTGCAGCATGGCGCTCCTCTGCTTTCAGCCTTCGGTACTCCGTTCTGAAGAACAGCAAGAAGATGCAGGCATTGAAGGCTCCATAGCCAGCATAAATGAGCAGAGGGACTGAGGGAAGAGAAAAATGCAACTAGGTTAGTTAAAACCAGTGGAAATACTGCCATACTGTGAAAAACTGTTCCTGTATTTAATCAAATGTCCCCAAAAGAATAATTTAAACAATTTATTTTAAAAATTTATTCAGAAAAACCAAGTTTCCTTTGATAAGTTGTTCCAAAACAAAAACATAAAGATGTTTCTGAATCCACTAATTAAATCTTGACCTTACAAGACTGTGCTGCCTCCTTGTCTGTGCGCTGCCGCCTTGTCTGCGCGCTGCCGCCTTGTCTGCGCGCTGCCGCCTTAACTGCGCGCTGCTGCCTTGTCTGCGCGCTGCCGCCTTGTCTGTGCGCTGCCACCTTGTCTTGTGTAACTATGCGTGAGCTTGCTTACTTCACCTGAGCTACAGTTCCAAGATAGCTTCATATTAGCCCATTCAAAGTAAGGATTAACCACTTCCTGCCGGGCGACTCGTTTTCGAGTACATAGGCTTTATATGCAGAGCTGGGGAGCCCGGACCCGGGACAAAAGGGTTGGGCCTTATAACAAAAGGCCATGCTCAGCACAAAAGACTGAGCTACTGGGCATTACCGACATTTTTTCGCTCTCAATAGTGGAGATAATCCAGCCTTGTTTTTAAACAGTATACCACGGTTTGAGGCATTTAGAGCGAGCGGATTACCACCGGGGACAAAAGCTCTCCACCACAGCAGGATGAGCCACACAGCACTGCTGCATGCTGATCTGGCCCCTATTGAAAAGAGGTCAGCAGTGCACTGAGCCAGGTTCGAGAACGAAAAAATCTTACGTAACACCGCACTGTCTGGGCTCTTTTTCCAAGGCTGCAGGCCTGGCTGAAATATTCAGGAGTTAATGAAGATTACCTGTCAGCTTTAGAGTAGTACCCAAAGAGTCCTCCATGTGGGTACAAATGGCCATTAAATAAAATGATGAGTTTTTGAAGAATTTTGAAAACGAAAAATCTTGAAAAGGACCCGGCATCTTGTCTAGCTCAAGAAAAATCCAGCCGGCAGCAAGTGGTTAAAGCTGTTGCAGACAAACAGTTTTGAACTGCATATTTGATTTGTACATTGACCATCACATATGCATGTCTATTCAACAGCAGCAAAGACAAGCACAGGATTGATAATGAATAGACCAGTTAATATTGATCTGTGAGTGTGTATGAGTGGTTGTAATGTAATGGTACATATACTTTCCTTATGTCTGTGAAGAAGTATGTTTTGCTCGCAAATATACAAGTTATATATTTTAACACGTGTATACATACAAAAGCTTTACACTTTGCTGAATATTAAGAAATGCGATAGTGACAAAGTAATAAACCAAAAAACACAGACTACACCCTTTTCTCATATACCTGGAAATTACCACATGAAACTTACTGGTTAAATCTTGAGCTGTTACTGATCCCTTACACTGGGAAAAGTCTTGCTGAACAGGGGATAGATTCCTTCCCAAATGGTTGCTTAGCACAATTCCAATGATGCCTTGAACTTGTCTGCAACAAGCATTCCGAAATGCATACATATCAACCCAACAATAAATAGGAATATCCAGAACATGTACTGTGTAAACGTTGAAACCTTGTTGAAGAGTTCAACAGAACATTGCAAGTGCTCTAGCCTCTAAGCTATCCAGCCCCATGTAGGCAAGCTATCAATTAACCAAAAGTATTTGATGTATTTTCAGTCATGCAGAAAAACACAACAGAATTGACAACTCCATGCTAGATGACGTCCAAATGCTGGGATTCCGTATGTTGAAACAAAGAGGACATTTAAACGTGTTCCAGCCAATTCTCTACATATGGACCTCCTGAATACGAGTTCCTTCAGACTTTTTAAATCACTTTGTTGGAACAGGAACCTTGTATTATGAGGAATGAAAACAATGAATACAAGATTGAGGCCAAAATTTCCTTCGTGTAAGGAGAATGTTGAAGGTTTTTCAGTTGTGATTTTTGATGGTCAGCGTTCAATATACACAGATGTACACGGAAATGTGTGCACCTTCAAAGTTTCTTCGCATTCTGTTGTACATGTGATTGACAAATGAAAGATGCAGATTCGAAAATGCACACGCCGATGCACACTTGGAACATTTCTTGAACTGCCTTTGACGGTCAAGTGACATCACATGAAAAACCTCTATACTATAAAACAATCAATCAAGTCAGAAAAAAACTTGAGCGCCTCTCATATGGCCTCACCAAGTGTCAAAATGAATATGTCAGGAGCAAAATTATGTGAGTAAAGACATTAGCTTAAGAACCAGAGCGAGAACCAACATGCACATACTCCGTTGGTTTGCACTACATTTCCTGGTCAAAATGACGTCACACTTTCATGCTCTATACATGTGTAGTTTCCAATTCTATTTTCTTCCGATGAATGGTTCCAAACTTTTGACTTCTGAATGAAAATGCAAAGTTATCGGAGACAACTGATATGCACATAGAAAAATGCTTGCTGACTTCACCCATCTAAGCAGAGAACACCCTAGAATGTACATGTAGATAGAGACTTACCCTGCCATGACTAGAAAGCCAGTACTTGTCCCTTCAGCTACAGGAAATGTTGTCTCAACACCAAGCTCCATGATGACTGGGTAGGCACCAAACCCAGCAGTACCAAACACTCCACCTGCTACTGCTATAGAAACACTCACTTCTCTGAAACATGACAACTGTATGGTACAGAACAAGAAGTAGAGTAAAATCAGTACACCAACAGGGACGAGAGAGTTGCTACAGACTACTCTGAGAAGGCTTTATAGAGTGGAACGCCATTATAACACTGCTATACCGAACATTCAGGAATACCGAACATCCCCTTGGCTCCTAAATTTTTTAAACACTTTTACCAAACATAACAAATTTGCTTTAAATAAAAGAAACGTAAAACTCAACTGTAAAGTTGAGGAAATTCACACTCACGATGGAATGGCTGACCCGTGGTACAGTCTGTACATGTGTCATTTGTGGGCAGCCTACACTGCATGTTACGTGCATGTGTCCATAGGCGGCCACCGAGACAGGCTGCTGAGTGTATTTATACAACACTGGAAACTCTGGTGCGGCAACCTTTGAATAATAATCCTTATAACGCCGGGAGATTTGACTTCAAAAATAACCCAAACAGAAAATAAATACTCGAATACATGCTCTTTTAGAGCGCACATGAATTTAGAAAATCCAAACACTGTACTGGTCAAAATGCCATGTAACATGCACATATCCATGGTGTTGAAAGAGGGGGAAGGAGGGTAGTTGCCCCTCCCTCAAAAAAAAATTTTAAAAAGGAAAAAGCAAAACAACGGGGAAAAGGTGAGTGTGATGAAAATCAGCAATATGCTTGAAAAAACCTAAAACTGGGCCCCTCCCACTTTCATTTGTTTATCAGTCCTCTGCTGATGAGTACTCCCCCTCTTCAAAATCCCCCCCCAAAAAAGGTGATTGCCCCCCTCCCCCATCCACCTGAAAAATCCTGAGAAAGCCGGAGTCCACAAGCATGGTGCCACTGCAGTGGTGGCTTCTAATTCCGCTTGTCAATTTAGTCATGGAGCTATTATGATTTAGTCTTTACATTCAAGACTGCCCACTGCCACATCCATACCTCCTGATGTATAAAGTACAGAGTCAACAAATTATGGACTGGGATTCATGTACAAGAATCTCCTCAAGGGTTATCATGTCTGTAAACATCAATGTTGGAGGGTACTTGATAATGAGTGCTACTCATGCTGTGCACTTGCAATGGTGTCATTACCTAGCACATAGCTAATACAGGTTCGGTACACATCACAATGTGCCTTTTAACTGGCACCACTTAACTCTTGGGCAGAACTTTTTGTTGTCTTGTTTTGTTTTCAAAGTCCTACACGGCATTTCACCTTGTGAATCCATCAGCAACGATGTAGTCGTTAATCCTCATCTTGATTCCTTCGTCATCTTCACACATATGGATTATTTCACTCTTTTTCCTATTAATTTCCAAGGCTTGGGGACACTTTTGGCCACCACACATTCAGGGTGCTGCTGTTATTTCTCCCACACTTTAAAGATATGTGCTTAAATCCTACCTGACTCACAGTCTACCCAGAACATGCAGGTGTGAGCACATGACTGATTGTTAATCCTCTGTCTGTTGCTGTTATTTTTGTGTGCAGAATGACTTGCTTGGGAGCAATCCAGTTCACTTTTGTTGTCCTTGACCTGCATAGTACTTATTTGTCTTATCTAACATTTTTAAAGGGTGCTGTGATGTCTATTTATTTCTCACACCTGTACCTCATACGCTCCCCTCATACACCGAGTTCCACTATTTTTTGGATCATTTCTTTGCTGTTTTTGTGCTTGTCTAGTTGCCTTCGTTACATACTTTTCCCGCAAATTGTGTTTTTGCCAATTTTATTTTTCCTTTTGTGAGCTTTTGTTATTGTTGTAGTTTGCTCTTGCTCTGTTTCATTTAGTTTATGTTGAATAAATAATAATAATACATGTCGTGGTATAGACCATTCTCATAGCAGGTAAACATGACAGCAAAGTGAATTTGACGTCATGGAACATTGCCATGAAATTCACTTGAGGTGAAATGTGCTTAACACATCACACTTCCACATTTGTGTTAACTTTCATGCCAAGTATGAACCAGCTACAGTAATTAGGCAACACAGAATTGTTTAAGAGTTTTGCATGGAATCCTCATCATCTTATGTATACAGAGGAACTTGTACAAAGGTTTTGTTTCATGACACTTAAGTAACATTATCAAAAATGAACACAAAACCAATGTTACATCATGCATCCACACTGTACGTATTACCCCTAACCCTCTAGAATGCTTTCTCTTTAAACCCTGCTGTATACATGCAACAAGGTACAACCATGACACCTGTCATTTGAAGGTCAAATTTTGAATGCCCAGTGTTCCAAGGTCTCACCGACTTTAAAACCTGTTGCATTTCAATGTATATGGATGAGTTTAGGGATGTCATTTTTTAAAGGTTAGTAGAAACAGTAGTTTGTTACCATCCACACATAGGATTGTAGATAGTATCGTCACCCCTTCCCTTGTTTAACTACACAGCTTACCGTACAGAAGGCAATGAGCCCCAATACAGCTGTAGTGAAGCACAACTTAGCAGTGGTTTCAAACTTCTTAGTCTTATCCACATATACACCAGTTACAATAGCTCCAAGCATTCCACCACCAATCATAAGTGCACCAACCAGCGAGGAATAGGACTGCAAAGTAACAGATACATAAAAAGACCTGTTAGATGAAGCATCACAAAATCTGATGTGGATCTATTGAAGACAACTCCTCAGATACATGTAATCTAGGTGGAAACACCCTTCCTCACTAAAGGATACAATGATCAGCTAACAATTACATGTAGATTCAAGTGTCTGAAAATCTCAATACATTTTGAGAACATTTACTGCAGGCCCTGCAGTCGTACTTTTATTTTTGATGTTGATATTTTTAATCACTGTTTGCTCAACCATTTTCTGAAAGTTGTGTATCCAGTAAACATATGGTCCATGTGTCTGTTAGGATTTTTCCTACGAAAAAATTTAATGTCAACAAGTCATTTTTCCCCAAGTCAAGTCAAGTCTCAAGTCATTTTTCCCCAAGTCAAGTCAAGTCTCAAGTCATTTTTCCCCAAGTCAAGTCTCAAGTATTAAAAATAGCGATTCGAGTCCGAGCCAGCGACTCGAGTCAACAACACTGCTAATTTGTATACATTTGCAAAAAAAAGGCTGACAAAAGGGCACTTGTCGATATTGATCAATATGGCTCAAATGACAAGAAAATGCAATAACATTTGAACAGATGCTAATGTACAGCTCCATGGTCATCCTCTGAACTACCTTTGTGTTGAAAGCAATGCTATGGTTGAGGTTTGTTTATATACAATTGTACATATGTATAACATTCATAACCAAACCCTTGTTGCTGGACTGCAGCCTGTCAATATTATGCCTGTGCATTAAGAAATAAGCTAATGTATGTACATGGTCAGGTGCATGTGAACATGTACATGTACCAGTATGTTTAATTGATGCAAGTTGCTGTTGGATAAGTTTTATATTCACACTTTATTTTCCTCCAAAAACTCTTATTGGTGAAAAACTGGCGAGAAATAAACTTTAAGTAATTTTTTTCACTGAAAAACATAAACTGAAATGTTGACTTGCAGAAAATTTCTTCTCCTTGGCTTAAATCTAATTCGTATCACACAATTTTAAATTGTGTGATATAATTTCCATTACACATCCCTATTGAATACAATGCAATTATCATGCTCAACCTACATCATCATAGCCCCTTGAACACAGGATCTGTTCCACCAATGAACTAACACAGTTGAATAAACCCAGCCCAGAACCAAACACCAACAGAAGCAGCAAGTAGGCACGGTTGTTTAGTATCTGCAAGAAAACAAATCATTGGTTTCAATTGGTGAGAAGGCACCCCTGGTTGAGGCTTGAGTCCGGCCAAATTGACTTACATGTAACCACAATATTCTTAGATTTAATTGAGAGGCTGAAATGTCTGAAGTCTACTTTGTCTTCTTTTTTATCATAGCCAAGGGAGAGGAGTGAATGTCCATCCCCTAAGATGCTGGCTATCCCAAAACCAATCTTTTAGTTTTTCAAATTTAGTGTAAATGTAAAGACACTTGATACATGTAGCATCATCAATTGGTCCCTGGATTAGTACTACAAGAAAACATGCTATCACATGCCTTCAAGGAAATGTCAATAGAATACTGTAGGTCAACTTCTCTGATAAAATTGTGACAGAAAATTAAATTAATAATCAAAAAGAAATGTTGATGCAGATTTCAGAGTATGGACAAAAATCTGTGCCACAAAGAACATCATCCCCCCCATAGCATAATGACACATACAGGGTATACATGTACTGAGTAGAACCTACACTATCCATGGAACCATGCTTCATGCTGTCACAACTCACTTTTTTCAAACCTTGTAGGAAGGATTCACTGGACTCAGCAGCACTGGCACTAGGTGGGGTTGGGGGAACACTACTACAAAACCCAAATGTCATCATGGCAGCTGCAACACCACCAGGAATGATGTAGATCCATAACTATAAAGATAACAGAAACTCAATTCTAGCAAAAGTGATACCAAGTTGTCTGTATGTCCTTTTACATCGTATTGTCTTCTAAGAGAATGGGCCAGCTAATGGGCCAGGCAAGGTAATATGAGCACAAAGCACCTGACATAATGTGAATTGGAATACGTTCAGTGCGTGTGTCCTGCCATACAGCTGCTCAGACAGAGGGGCTGTTCACATAATTGTGAATTTAGGATTAAATCCTGTCCTTCTCTCAGTTTAACCGTCCTCATGGGAATAGGTCAATCACACAGAACTGATGCATTCAAATCATAAGTTTCAAGATCTAAAGATAACTGGCCACATTTAAACCACGCTCAATACCATTAACACCAGTCAACGGCAAAGGTATTTTTATCATGTCCAGACAAAAACATGGTATGAACTTGCCAATCACGTGTAAGATTTGCCTGAGAATACCGTAGATTAGGGGAGTCAGAGACCAGGTAACAATCACAATATGTGTCCTAGAGGACACTCACTGCTTCATGAAGGCACAAGGCAGATACATGTACATGTACCTGTGATGGAAAATGGGGCCTTGTTTTGCGTTGGTCATAATTGTGGCTCACTATTTACTTGGGGTACCAATTATAAATTCTACAAAAGATACCTTAAAGCACTTCAGAGTTTGCTGCCAGATCAAAAAAACATCAAATACATGCAGGTACGTACTGTATGGTCATAGCCAACGATGGATTTCCAGAATTCAACCTACATGTACATGCAACTTGGAATATTTCCAGCATGAAACTGAAGCAGACAAAACAAGAGTATCTTTGCAGCAATAAGGATGTTGTAATGATGTGGTTTGACATCACCACAATCCCTCCATGATGATCAATATAATTGAGAGGTTCTTATCGGATATTGAGAACGGTACTGAGTAATCCAAGCTGATACTACGATTAACATCCTTTACTGCTAGCATGGTAAAGTTCCATTGGGTGGATGATTTGGCATGATGCAGGATGTTTCACAGCCAAAATGGTACATGTACACTAGGTTTAATACAGGTTAGATTGAGAACCTACAAGTGTTTGAGAAATAAATCACAAAAATCAGAACAAACTATATTTTTGTACATACTAGTATCAGCAAGTTTTTAATAAATCTTGAAGTATTAATCTTTCCTGTTTCAATTGATTAACAGTAATCTTTTATGTCCACAATTTTCATGCAAAGTTTATCAACATCGGGTCAATCACAAGGAATGTTTTACTATGGCATCCTTACAATTCATGTTGTCCACCTGCACCTTTCAACAGCGGACTACCTTAGTATTCCTCCTTCAGTCTTTGCTTCAATTTGCTTCATATTTTTGGTTTAAGAAGTTTTGGACACTCTCTTGTGCTTTCTGAAAGGAAACACTTTTTTCCACAAAGTGGTTTCTGACTGATTGGAAAGAAAAATGAGAAAGAATAATAGATACATGTACATGAATCAATTCATCAAGTAATGGAATAAGACTTTCATTCTCTCATGGATACAAATCTATAATCTATAATATCTACAATATAAAATGCTTTTGGAACATTCCACTTATGAGGAAAGGTACAGTGCATGTATTACAAGCCATGTCACCGGATGGAGGATACATGTACAGGTACCGGTATAGTATGTGACATACAATTCATTAGCAGCAAATTTCATGAATACAGCTCTGATTTGTAATACATTTTACAAAAACTGACCATTGTTGGGATATCATCCTCTTTTTGCACGATGATCTTGGACAAAAGGAAGGATGCCAATATGCCAAGGGGGTTGGACGATGATCCTAGCGTGTTGGCAATGGCTCTTTGGCTCTCTGGGAACCACAAGGCAGCTAGTTTGGTGGGGGCAAAGAGGATAAATGGTTGAGCCATTGCTGCAAGTCCTTGACCAATCATAACGACGATAAACTTGATGTCTCCTTGCACTTGCTCTATAGTGCTGATATATCTGACACCTAGACCAACTACATTCAGCCAGGCACCCATCATCATCTGTATATCAAAAAAAAAACACAATGATCTTGTATGGTTATCACTTTACATGTAACAGATCCCACAGCAACATGGCCTCCATAAAATTCAGTGATATCGGTCAATGACTAAAATTTCTGGTATCAAATTCACAAAAAGAACAGCCATATTAAAAAAAAAAGTAGGTACAGATTTCTTTGCCAAGATGTGCACTGTCTGTGGCATAACATCTTGCCTGCTGTCAGCCTTGTCACAACTACAGAAGTTGGATTAATGGTCAACACAAGTCTTGTAAATTACCGGTACATGTAAGAACTTCAGCTACTACAGACTACACGTACATGTACTTACCCCAACTCTCAAGCCAAAGGTATCCAGAATCCATGTGGATAGGAAACCCACAGGAATACTGGCTACCATATACACTATCGACAGCCAGTTCACATTGGTATAAGATGTATTGTAGTAAGAAGCAGTCAGATCAGCAACAGGTGCAAAGGTTATCCAACCCTGGAAAAAAGTTTTTGTGTTTGATTAGACATGAACAGATTGAAAATACCAATGGCATGGTATGGACTACATCTCCCATTTTATTTTTAAGGTTCTTCTACATTAGTGTTGTAGTATTTGAGCCAACTTTTTGATGTGCTACTCTGACTTGGTCTCTGTTGGACTCATTTTTCTACCCAAGAATCCACTGTTATCCTTAACACCCTTTCAATGTAAAATTAGAACGGTGAAGCTGCCAAGGCTCACTGTTTTATATGAATCTAAATTTCTTTACCTCAAAAGTAGCTCATATGAAGAGGCATCCATGCAAAATAGAAATTGCACTGAAATTAAACAAGGAATCATGCTGACCAATCAAGTGCATGCTTGCCACAATTTTTAAAAACAACAGGTTTAAAAGAAAACTTGGCTGATAAATGACATTGTGGATGTACACTGAATGGCACTTTAGCGACTTGCCTCCAGGATTCCCGATATCGGGTACCTTGGGTTTGTACGTATAGCTGGGGTGCCCAAAATTGGGCAAAGGAGCCGGGAATTGCCATCCTTTTGCATCTGGCATTAGTGGAGGTAATCCGTAATTGTTTTGAAACAGTATACCACTGTTTGCGGCATTCAGCACCCGCGGATTATCAGCGGGGACAAAAGTGCTCCAGCACTCCCGCAATGAGCAATACAGTACCATGGCACGCTAATCTGGCCACATTTGAAAAGGCACCACTGCCATTCAGCAATGCAATGGGCCAATTTCAGTAACAAAGGAAATTGTGCAACTCCGCACATCTGGGCTCTCTTTACTGGGTGGCAAGCCAACCTGGCTGCAATACTCGGGCATCAATGGAGATTGCTTTTCAGATTAGAGTAGCAACCAGATAGTCATTCATGTGGGTGTAAACATCCAGTAAAGGAAGTCATAAATTTGTGAAGAATTTTGAAAATCTTGAAAACTGCCCAGGAACTCGTCTCGCATATGCAAATTCCACCCAGCAGGAAGTGGTTAAAGGTTTCACACCCCCTCCCCTCATTAAATCCATCTCTTACTCCGCCCCATCCCATCATTCCATCCATCTCCTACACTGCTCCACCCATCATCCCACCCATCTCCTACTCCACCCACGTCCCATCATCCCATCCATCTCCTACACTGCTCCACCCATCGCTCCATCCATCTCCTACTCCACCCACATCCCATCATCCCATCCATCTCCTACACTGCTCCACCAATCGCCCTATCCATCTCCTACTCCACCCACATCCCATCATTCCATCCATCTCCTACACTGCTCCACCCATCATCCCACCCATCTCCTACTCCACCCACGTCCCATCATCCCATCCATCTCCACCTGCCCCATTTCATTATACTATCAATTTCCTGCTCTTTCCCCTTTCCCAACCATAAGTAAAAATTTTCACATTGAGCAGACGCCTCAACAGATGGATGGACAGACAGAAGGCCCAACGCCCCGACAGACAGATGGACAGAAATTAGTATTACATAGGCTCGCATTTGCTTCACAACTTGCCAATAAATGGAGAACAATAATACATGTACTTCCATATTGTTTCCAGCTGGAGGACTTCCTTCCCATAAATATTCTTATGGCAAGAAATATGAATAATATGAGGCCAACAAAATAATAGTTGTGCTTCCTATTACATTGAAAAAAATAGGTTGGGTAGGTGGGTACACATAATTTTTTTTTTCTTCTAAAGTTTTTGGTCAAAAATGTTAGGGTGGGGATTTTTTTTTAAAAACTGATTTTAAAGGCCAACAGTGTATTCTATTGTTTTTTCGACGGATTTGTTACTTGAGGATCGGTATTGTCAAAGATTATATCCAAGTCAGATCCTCTTCGGACAATTATACATTTATGTTACACTGACATTTTGACAGTCTACATGTATGTCCAAAAATTATTTGAAAACTTGTACAAAACAATGCACATAGAGCACTTTCACATAATACAATAACAATGCATGCCCCGCGCCAGTTGTCACAAAACCCTTTATTGGTGAAAGCGAAATGTACTAAGATTATTTCAAGCAATAAATTCACAGTGAAATGTGTGCTACCATGAGCTATAGTGGAGATTGTTAGTCACTTCCTACTCACGCAGGAACAGCTGTAATGAGTCCCACTGACTGATGTATGAATATTGATGTTTCAATGACAGCCAATCACGACTCAATGACTGGATGGTCCCATGATGCTGTTTACACACAAGGTTTTATCCTCAAGCCGCACAGATATGTATCACTGTACATGTGTGTACAGTAGACCCCTTCGCGTGCATTACAGAGCTCTAGTACTGTTCAGTTTCCGAACGCAGATGTGCAAAGATTGAACTGGCAGTCGCGTTGTGTTGGCAGAAAAAGAAAAAAAACACAGAAAAATCAGCACTTATGCAAGGAAGAAAAATACTGAAATTCGGCATGCATGCACACTGTACTCAACAAAAAAGCAGAGATTTCACACCCCTGAAATAAGCACGAGGGTCAGCAACAGAATTTTTTATTTCTTTTTCTATAAAAAGATTCAGGATTGGTGCGATTTGCTAGGCTGGGATGGGTAACCAGTAGCACAACTATTATTTTGGTTAACTTAATATGTAATTTTTTGGTTCACTTTTCTACTTTTCCTACTAGTAGCAGTGTGTGTAGTTTCTTATGTGGTTTTGATGCCTTGTTAAGCACTGGAAGACTCCATGCGGGTAAAACACAATGTCAAAGAATACATGTAATTAGAGTGGAAGGATAAACACTTGGAAATATGAATCCTGTTTTTGTTTTGCAATTACTTATTATAATTGGGATCCAGCCAATTTCTACATTGTGTGTACTCAATGCATGCCCATCCATTTTTCATGACATTTTTTCATGCATGAGAAAATTCAGTTTATTGATGGGCTTGTACCATACTTGGACTTGGCTTTTTATGGACTAAGACTTTGTGGACTTGTGGAGTCAAAACTACCATAGGACTGGGACTTCGAAGAGGTGCATTCGACAACATTACTCTTAGACTGGCACATAAGCAATTTAAAAGCGTCCTTCAGGTGTAATAGTCACACGAGGCAAAAATTAAGTTTACCCCCAATACTTTATTCACAGGCCTGTCACCAACAGTCAGATCACAATGCACGTTGGTCTTGTGACTGATCAAAGTCAACCAACAGACAAAAGCATGCAACTCATGACATCATTGGCCTAACATGGAACGTAAGGGCATGGCCATCGGAGATTGGCAAACATAATGCTAAATCTGAATACTGGTATTCATAAGCACTATTGGATGTGTGTAGTGAGAATTTTGAATTGATGTGCAGCAGAAATGCTGTACGTTGCATGTGCTTCGTTAAGTATTAGTGAATTCTCACCAGGTACTTCTTACAACCATCGCGTGATGTAGGGCCACATGTTGTGTTTGCTTTTTATCAAGTTTTCTTGCATGCATTCTGTGCACTGGCAATGCCATGCCATATTAAAGCCGAACATCCGAACCGACCAGTTTGGTTCTGTTTTGTTTGGTTCGAAAGTGCCACGTTCGATGATTTTTGGTTTGGTTTGACAGTTTGGCTGCAGCACTACCTGGCTGAGTCATATCTGAAGGAGCAGAGATGAGTAACTATGATAACTTTCAATAGTCAAACACAAGAACTGATGAATGAGATGAACATGTTCTGTACGGTACATGAAAGCAGTGCAGTGATGCACCTTAGAGGTTTTCACCAAACCACCAATATTGTTCTACTGGGAGCTGTCTGGGCATAGGGATAAAGCAAATGTGCATGTGTTTGAACAATTACATGTATGCATACCAGTGTGCACATAGAGACTTTTCACCCTCAGTGAAGTCAAGTGACTAATATATCTGATAACATAAATGTACATGTATTAATACAAGTAGCTATTGATCCCAAAGGTACCAAAGGTTAACTTTGTGCAATCTAACCACATCACATGAAGATTCCAATTCAATCACAGATTCCAAAATAAAAAATTATCATTTCCAAAGTCAATTTCAGGATTGCACATTTTGTTTGAATTTTTAAAGGTGCGTTATGTGCAACATACATGTAAGTAATGTGGGAAGGTTCCCAGTTGCAGAGCTAAACATACCTGTACATGTACACTAAGTGTACATGTACAGGTATGTTTACCAAGTTGACAAGGCTCTGAAAAAAAAAGGAGGGGAATGCATGTTTGCGCAGACTGTGCTCCGCCATTTGTCAGAGATGACAGGCAAATTAGTCTGTCTGTTGTGTCTCCTAGTCTCGTGGTCCTATCCAGAACCTCACCAACGCACTGAAGTGAAGAGATTTGTCCTGGGGCATAACCAAAGGCTAACTCATAGTGCTCTTCACACTCAAACCTGAGTAATTTGTGCTTAATTAAGTTTGTTTTAAAGTGAAAAATTGTTAAGTTCTTATGATAAGCTCACTACATTCCAAACTCCAACATTTGGATCAAGTTAACTGTTACCAAAGAAGGTACCAGTACATGTACAGTTAAATGTTTTCAACAGATTCTGGATAGCAAGAATCACCATATATACATATTCATCCAGTAGGCTACAGTAGGCTACATGTACATGTATGTATCATTGTGCAAGGTCCAGTATGTAATAACTATATGTACATGCTGGAGACATACATGCAGTTGCTACTATCAGGATGCTATCCACATCAATTGCTCATGTTGACTCAATAGTCTTAAAATCAGAAGTTCATAATGTGAGTCATCAACAGTAATAACACCATCAAATAGATTTGTCAGATTTAAAATGCTGGCCAGAGCCAAATGGATTACATTACATACTGCATCTTTACTATCAATACTTTTTGTTTTAACAAGAAAGAACACTTCATATTTGGAAATGCACCGGTACCAGCATAAATTTGTCAAGATTCACAAACTGTGCTTTCTACTTTGTCAAGAGCCAGGGAGTATACTCACAATGGCATTGGATAAGTTGAGTACTGCTAACACACTCAGCATGTACCATCGTCTTTTATAGACTTTGTATGTACGGGAAGAATGCTGAGCTGGCACAGACTGGGTGGTTGTGATAGTACTACTAGTGCTTGACATTATGTACTTGGCACTGTTCAGTGGTTGAGGATTCAAAGGTACTGGGGATTCAAGAACATCAGGCAGCAACTTTTCCTCATCCATTCTCTTTAAAGAATCTGAAAAAAAGGGAAAACGGGTACAAATCAACATAATATTTAACTTCCCCTCCACAGTTATTATCTAAACTACTAATACATACACTGTAAGGTCTTTAGTTACATGTGGCATGCATAACACTCCAATACCAGCAACATGGAAAAGACTAGTGAAAGTGATGCCCAAAGTTAAATTTGAATGGCCAAAAATGAATTTGAACATCATTTTAACTTGCCAGATTTTACGAGCATTAGCTGCAATTGCCTGATGCAATGGTCAAAAATTGCATGTACCGGTACACATAGCACTTGTTAAAATTTCACATACATGTACGTGTACAGTGATCAACATTACATGTACACATGTACAACATATTTGTATATTGTTAGTTACTGGTGCCTAATGTACACAACTCATCAATAGACAAATATTTTACTTAGCAGCTATGAATTATTAGAGAAGCAAATAGTATGCTTGTAGTAAAGTGCAGTAAACTGTAGTAAAGTGAAGGTTACTGCAAGAAAAGTAGTTCATTTAACCCTAACAGTCCTCAATCCTCCAACAGGTGAAGGATTGAGGACTGTTAGGGTTAATGATGGTAAAACTCACAAGGGCCTGAGGATTTCTAACATATATATAAATTACCCACACCTCCAGTCTCATAATTTGGCCCCTGGATGGCTAGTATTAATTTTTCTATGAGAAACAACTGTCACACCTTTACATTGATTATATCGTTGATGAGATATTTGTTCTAACAGAAACCTAACTTAAAGAAAACTGATGCTGCAGTTTGACCATTATGTCTTTCTCCAGGTAATTTGGTGAATGATCAGCCTAATAGTGTTTATAGTTGGGGGTTTTGGGCTGGATTCCAGACTGTGTATGGATACATGTACATGGATATACTGGTAAATCATACTCATAAAAGGGTGAATTACAACTTACACAAAATTTGTGTTGAATTTACAAACCCTTAATCAAGGAACTATTGAGTGCTTGGTTCATTCACTGATTACCTCTCACTTAAACTACATTGTAATTTAACTCTGTAATGTACCATATGACTCAATATTCATTTGAAAAATTACAGTGACAATGCTGCTTGGTTGGTTCTGGGATTATGTATGTCTATGTAAGTACAACAGGATCTCATAGTCACTAAAATATCTGCATTGGCTTCCAGTTCATACATGCCTGCATTTCAAGATATTGCCTTTGGTTTTCAAGGTTTTACAGAACAATGCACCAGCTTATTTGACTAGACTGTGAAGTCCCATTGTGCTTATGGTGTGTGGGTAGTCAAGACTCCATGCAACTTTATGTTCCTTGATCTGGTAATAAACTCAATGATTGGGCAAATGCCAGACTGACCTTGCGGATCTCCTTGCCACACCAGCTGAAGAGAAAATGAGAATGAATTCAAGTGTGCAATCAAGATGTATATTTTAATCAATGTTATAGTTTTAAGTTTTTTAATGTTTAAATAATACAATACAATGTATGTGCTAGAAAATTGTGTTTTAGTAGGCTGGTGTTTTAGTGTAGTACATGTATTGTCATTTTACTTTAGCTGGTTTCTTAATTAAGGTCGTACTTGTATTGTGTTTTGATATTGCATTGCTCATGTAGTTTCGTCATTTCTTAAATTGACAATGGCTAAGTTTATTAGTAATATTGTGTTGATTTGCACAGTGCTTTTGAATATATTATGTAGAAATGGTGTTTTAGAATTGAAAATGGTAAATTTTAAATGTTTTCCTTGCAGATCCCCTGCACTGAGGAAATAATCCAGTTTGGTATTTCAAAAAGATACAAGGCCATTCAAGAACAAAGTGTAAATTGGCGTGGGACAGAGCCTGCAAGCCCTTTGTTACTCTTGACAGACCTCAGACATGTGCTGTTGGAATATTGGCTCATCATTAAGAAACTGTTCGTACTGTGTAATTGCCATTGTAAAACTAGAACGGCAAAGCCGCCATGGCTTGCTGCTTGTTGTAAATTTGAATTTCTTTCCTGTAACAACAGCTTATGTTAAAAGACATCCAAGTTATACAAATTTGGTTACTAAATTAAAAGGTGTATACTAACCAAGCTTCATCCAAATATTTTACAAGATTGGTTGACATGTGACTGCAATACAGATGTACAAGATATTTTATTGACCTTTGTGATAAAGTTCATTATACTCTAGAAGAAAAAAACCTAGTTACTACTGTGTGCAGACTGTGTGTTGAAAGGCACCTGTCCTTGAAAAGTAAATCAACAAAGACCCCCAACAAGGGAGATAGGGGTACAAAGGCTTCACAGTTCTTTACAA